AAAAAAAAAAAAAAAAAAGAATCTCATGGACCGGGTGCCAGTGGCCCATGCCTGTAATCCTAGCTACTCAGGAGGCTGAGATCTGAGGATCGAGGTTCAAAGCCAGCCGTAGCAGGAAAGTCCGTGAAACTTATCTTCAATAAGCCAGCAGAAAACTGGAAGTAGTGCTGTGGCTCAAGTGGTAGAGCGCTCGCCTTGAGCTGAAGAGCTGAGCTACAGAGCCCAAGCCCAGAGTTCAAGCCCCACGACTGACAAAAAACCAACAACAACAGGGAAGAATCTCAGGGACTTTCCTACTTGGCCTGTCTTTGAACCATGATCCTCAGATCTCGGCCTCCTGAGTAGCTAGAATCACAGGTGTGAGCCACTGGTGCCCAGTGTTGATTTAATCAACATCTATATAAAAATCCATGTAATTGTTAGGTCTCTTAAGTCCCTCCCTCCTTCCCTCCCTCCCTTCTTTCCTTCCTGACTTGCTTTTTCTCTCTCCCTCTTGTGGCAGTACTGGGGCTTGAACCAGCACCTTGCACTCTTGTGTAGCTTTGTTGCTCAAGATTGGCACTTTATCATTTGAACCATAGCTCTACTTCTGGCTTTTGGTTGGTTAACTGAAGATGAGTCTCTCAGACCCTTTCTGCCCAGCTGGCTTCAAATTGTGATCCTCTGATCTCTCAGCCTCCCCAGTAGCTGGGATCACAGGAGGGAGCCACCAGTGCTCACTTTACATTTCTTTAATCTGGGGTAGTGGCTCTTACTAGGAGGTGATGTTTTGCCTCCTTAGGGACACTGTCTCCCAGGAGGCCCTTGGAGTGTCACCCCGAGGCTGCGGGCCATCACACGGCCCCCCATCCGCAGACCATACCCCAGGACGGACCCTCTCTGCAGGTCACAGTTCACTTTGACAAGATGATGAGCGCCAACACCAGGGTCCGGGAGGAGATTGACACGCTCCGCTTCGAGAAGGCGGCCTACGACAACGTCTACCAGCAGCTGCACAAGCGCTTGCTCACGCAGAAGAAGACCATGAACATGGCCATCGAGCAGTCTGCGCAGGCGTACAGACAGAGGTGGGCTGGGGGGAAGGCGGGGAGGGGGCTAGGAGGGGAAGTGTGGCTGGGCATGGTGGGGGGGGGCGCTGGCTGGGAGCCGGAGCCCCTGTACTGTTGCGGAGCCTGGGACAGCTAGCGACTCTGGGCTTCCAACCCTGCCACTGCCCGAGAGATTTTGGTGGACCTCACTTTAGAGTTGCTATGGCCACTGAGCCGCGGTGAGTGGCAGATGTGCAGCGGAGGCGCTGCCGCCCCTGGGGCTTCTCAGTCTGCCATGAAGAGAGCGGGCGGCAGCGCCACCTGTGGCTGGGTTCGACGACGGCTTCCAGGAGTACAGGCGTTCTTCACACGGTGGGAAAAATCACCAAATAGTAGCATGTGACTGTAGCCCAGGTGGTGGTGGTGCTGGTGGTGGTGAAAGTTGTGGTGGTGATGTAGTGATGATTACAATGGTGATGGTGGTGGTGGTGATGTAGTGATGCTGTTACTATAGTGATGGTGGCGATGATGATGGTGGTGGTGGTGATGAAGATGGTGGTGGAGGAGGTGGAGATGTTGGTGATGGTGTCACTGGCAGTCCTGGTGGTGATGACGGTGGTAGAGTGGGGATAGGAAAATCCCCCTCAGGGTCATCTGGAGCTCACAGCTCTAGTTGTTCAGCATTTTTTCTGATACTTAAAAATGGATGGCCGGGCCAGGCAGGAAGTCCCCTGACTGGCTGGGAGAGGGAGGGAGGAAGGGGCGGACACTTCGGGACAGGCCTGACCCCGCAGGGTGGAGGCGATGGCGCGGATGGTCGCCATGAAGGAGCGCCAGCAGAAGGACATCTCACAGTACAACCTGGAGCTCCGGGAGCTGGAGCGCGTGTACGACCACGAGAGCAAGCTCAAGTCCTTCCTGCTCTTCAAGCTCAACGACCGCTCTGAATTCGAGGAGCAGGCCAAACAGGAGGAAGGTACCCCCCCCTTCCCCTGATCCTCACATCAGCAAATAACACCCAAGGTAGCTGATAAAATCCAAGGTGAGGCCAGGCGCCGGAGGCTCACGCCTGTCATCCTAGCCACTCAGGAGGCTGAGATCTGAGGATCTTGGTTCAAAGCCAGCCCAGGCAGGAAAGTCCGTGAGATTCTTTTTTTTT